ATATATACATACATATATATATATATAGAGAGAGAGAGAGAGAGAGAAAGAGAGAGAGGCAGTTGTTTGAATAAAACAAGGGCATGCTAAATGATTTAAAATTAGGAAAGGTGTGCACCAATGTTGTATTCTTTCACCATACTTATTCAATATGTACACTAAGCAAATAATCAGAGAAGCTGAATTATATGAAGAAAAATATGGTATCAGGATTGGAGGAAGACTCATTAACAACCTGTGATACGTAGATGATACAACCTTGCTTGCTGAAAACGATGAAAACTAAAAGATCTTTACTGATGAAGATCAAAGACTACATCCTTTGTTGTGGGTTGCACCTCAATGTAGACAAAACAAAAATCCTTACCACTGGACCAGTAAACAACATCCATATAAGTGGAGAAAAGATTGAAGTTGTCAATGACTTCATTTTGCTTGGATCAACAATCAACACTCATGGAAACAGCAGTCAAAAAATTAAATGATGTATTGCATTAGGCAAATCTGCAATACATCATTTAATTTTTTGACTGCTGAGGATTAAGGTGCCCTGGTGTGGCCCTCTGGGTTAATGTGCTGGACTGCAAAGTCAGTTTGAACCACAAGGTTGGCAGTTCAAGCTCATCAGCTGCTCCTTGGAAACCCTATACAGTGTCTCTCTGGGTCAGAACCAACTTGATGGCAGTTAACAACAACCCAAGCTGTGTGTTAGTTCACTGGACTGCAAAGTCAGTTTGAGCTACAAGGTCATTGGTTCAAGCTCACCAGCCGCTCCTCGGAATCCCTGTACGGGGTTGCTATAGGTTGGCAACACAGAACAACAACAACAAACCAAGCCATGGTATTTTCAATAACCTCATATGCTTGTGGAAGTTGGACCGTTAATAAGGAAGATCATAGAAGAATTGATGCATTTGAGTTATGATGTTGGAGGAGAATATTAAAAGTACTATGGACAACCAGAAGAACAACAAATCTGTGTTGGAAAAGTACATCCAGAATGCTCCTTGGAGGCCAGGATGGCCAGTCTTCTTCTCTCATACTTTACATATATTATCAGTAGGGACAAGTCCCTAGAGAATGACATCATTTTTGGTAACGTGGATGGTGGAAGAAAAAGAGGAAGACCCCCAATGAGACAGATTGGCACAGTGGACATAACAATGGGCTCAAATTTAGCAATGGTTGTGAGGTTGGCCCAGGACCAGGCAGTATTTTGTTCTATTGTATATAGGGTCACTATGAGTCAGTAACAACTTGATGGAACCTAACAACAATCTCTGCTTTAATTTTTCTTCTAATTTCTGCTTCTCTTACCCAATCACTGTTGCTTCTTTTTGTTGTTTTCTCTTGGTTTTTCTTTAATACTCTTTCCCTTTTACTCATCCTCCTACCTAAATATGATTCATTCTTTATCTCTCTTTTAATTTTCTCTCATGTTTTCCATGGTTTTATCTCTCCCGCATTTCACTTTTCATTTTGTATTCTTTTTCTAAGGACTCTAGATTCATAGGAAGAGCATCACTAAGAGATGGTTGCCAGGTGGCAGACTTGCAGAATGCACCCTTTGGTGGTGTAAATTATTATATATGCCTGACTGTTTAAAAAAAAAAAGAAAAAGAAAGAACTAAAGTGAGTAGAGAGAAATACTGTTAACTGATGGTACATGAAGGGAATTATAATCATTGTAATGCAACAAGGTGTATGATTTGTTGAACGTAAAATTGATGATCTGCCCTGTAAATTGTCACTCAATACACAATAAAAACCTTAGGGGGGAAAAAAAAGTGAATTATCCTGTGAAAAGGCATCAGCTAAACAGACTTTGGAGCCCTGGACTGCAAGTTGGGTTTGAACCACAAACAGTGTCAGCAGTTCAAACTCATCAACTGCTCCTCTGGAAACCCTACACTCAGTCACTATGAGTCAGAGCTGACGGGATGGCACTTAGCAACAACAGCAAGAAACAGACTTTGGAATAATTTCTTGAATTAGAAAGCTAAAGTATGTTGGTGTTGTTTCTCTTGAGGGAATAAAACCCCAGAAAACAGGAGAGTTCATATCATATGGAAATGTAATTACAGGAGTAATCTGTTGTTGTTGTTGTTAAGTGTCATCAAGTCGGTTCCGACCCATTACAACCCTGTATAGGGTTCCCGAGAACCGGCTGGTGAGCTTGAAGCCCTGACTTTGTAGTTCAAACCTACTTTGTAGTCCAGCACATTAACCCACAGCGCCACACCAGGATTCTATGAGTTATCTAGCACCTACATAATTTCGCACACACATACACACACTCACATATCTTTTTGCTGCTTAGTGGATGTTGTTGTTGTTGTTATTAAGTGCCGTCGAGTCGATTCTGACCCATAGCAACTCTGTATAGTGTTTCCAAGGAGCAGCTGGTGAGCTTGAACCACCGAGCTGCAATGCAGTTCAAACGACTTTGCAGTCTGATGCATTAACCCACAGCCCCACGCCAGGACTCAACTTAGTGGATGTTGTTGTTGTTATGTGCCTTTGAGTCGGTTCCGACCCATAGTGACCCTGAACAGGGTTTCCGAGGCTGTAAATCTTTACGGGACCAGAAAGCCTCATCTTTCTCCCGCGGAGGAGCAGCCGGTAAGAGCTCAAATCACATTGTTTTTGTTGTCATCCAGTCAATTACAATTCATAGTGACTCTGTATAGGTTTCTGGAAGAGTGGCTAGTGGATTTGAACTCCCAGCCTTGCAGTTAACAGTCCAGTGCTTATCCTCTAGTGCCACACAAGGACTCCAATCGCATTAGACACATGCTTTCTGGTGATTATGACCTTGTTAAAAGATATAAAATATGGACCTCCTAAACCCAACACAGCCCTTGACAGCTCCCAAGTGACTCATGTAATCAAAAACAAGGCGTTTCATACCACAAAAACGTGCTGCTCATGGAATTACCTGAGTTCTGGATGTTCCAGAATTTCAGAGAGGAGTAATAGAAGACTACAACACTTTCTCTTAAAATAAACACTAAAATAATCTGTGACAATGGTTGCCCCTCCCCCTGAATCCCCACGTGCTGCCTTGGAAAAACAGAACTAAGTGTGATTTATTTGAACTCTTACAACAAGGAACAAGAACTTGAAGTGACAAATGTATTTTTTTAATGCGTTTATTTCAGAAGTAATAGAAATCTGCAAAATCTAAGTTTAAAGAGAATTGAGCTACCTTTCCCCGTCTTAACTGTTACAATCTTAATAAATGCCTTCAATAGCAATAATTCCACTAAAGATGTCCTGCTGTCCCGTCATGGTTCGAACGGGCCTGGATCCTGCCCACAGCGGCACAAGACTCACTCCTCCCTTAGAAGTCTGGGGACAGATAGGGAATCTCCCACATCTGGCTGGTTGGCGGGAGGGAGAGGCGGGGTCTACACCAGAGGCGGGTCGGGAACTTTCTTTCCGGAATCAGGGGCCAAACTACAGGAGCCCTGGGAAATTCCCAGACCCAGGCCCCTGGGTTTTCCAGCCTGATCATGGATAAAAGGGGTTCCCGGGGCTCAGAGCCTCAGAGCCCCATCACAGGCAGCCTTCTCCCTCGCCACCTCTCTCGCTCCGCACACCGCTGCCCAGACTCTCCGAGCCGAGCACCATGACCTTCACCGCAGCTCCCCGCGCTCTCCGCCTGCTCCAGGCCGCGCTGCTCTTCCTTCTCCTGGTCTCTGCCGGCCAGCGCGCAGAAGGTGAGTCTCAGCGGGACTTCGGAGGCGGCCAGGGCCCGCTGGGATTCCATGCGCAGAGACAGTCCCGCTAACTGAGTCCCTCTTCTCCCTCAGGGGCGCCCGTGGTTTCCGAACTGCGATGCCAGTGCGTGCAGACGTTACAGGGAATCCACTTCAAGAACATCCAAAACGTGAAGGTGACGCCTTCCGGACCCCACTGCGGCCAAACTGAAGTCATGTAAGTCTCGCTGCTGCTACTGCCATCGCGTTACCCTGACCCGGTGGTGCTCCCCAACCCCAATGCCCGCCTCACGTGGTTTCTCCCTTCTCTCTCTGCAGAGCCACTCTCAAGAATGGGCAGGAAGTTTGTCTCAACCCCACTGCCCCCATGGTTAAGAGAATCATCGAAAAGATACTGAAAAAGTGAGTTCATGTCTTTTATTTACAGCATATGACTGGTGTCGTTGGTAAAGATACTGGCATCTGCTTTTGAAAATTACATTAAGAGAAACCCAGGGGTTAGCTAAAGGAATGAAAAATCGTTATTGTTGTATTTGCAATTCAATTTACCATAGAACTCATTAATCTGCCCTGGTGCTAGATGGTATTTCTGGCACCTTTTGCTCCCACCCTAACAACACTGCCATTCAAATGGGTAAATGGGCATTTGTAAAATATTAGCAACACTTGTTTCTTCTTGTTGTTAAGTGCCATGGAGTATGTTCTGACATAGAAACCCTCTCTAGGGTATGTTGAAATAATTCTTACCGATTACAGAACACTATTTATCCCCATTTCTCTTGGTTTCAGACCTGAAAACAGAACCCTTAGTGTAGGACTAGGGTGCCTCGAAATATTAGTGGTGAACAGCTGGGTTTTGCTTCGAGACCCACGTGAATTCAAGTTTTGATTCCACCTCTGATTAGTCCTATGACCAAGAAAATGTTTAATATCTTTGAGTTCCATAAAATGAGAAAATGATATTACCTATTTCATGGGTTTGCTCTGAGGCTAAAATGCATAGATGCATGCACATTCTATGGCAGGGTGACATTGAGGCCGTTTTCAATAAGTTTCAGCTGTTTGAAACCAATCATGTAATTGCTACAACAGGCCCCCTCATTAAACAGAATTTCAGAGCCTGGCTTTTTCTGCTGCTCAGGGCTGTGATGGTTACAGGCAGCTTTTGGAAAAAGCTGGAGTGTCAGGGATCTAAGGCAGGAGAAGGGGTTTGTGCAGCCAGCTTATTGATTGCCTGCTAAGAGTGCCATTTTCTCATCATAGGAGTGGTGCCAACTGACCTAGCGAGAAGGAGGAACCCCATCCGTGACTCTTCTTGAAGGGGGAACCAAAGAGAGAGAAGAGAATCCAATGACTTCTGAAGACACTTGGACTGTGCTTTCTGTGTTTGACTGTTTTCTATGGATTGTGTTTATTTATATATGTATTTATTTATTTGTCTTTCAAATTTTTATTTTAATGTTTTACTTGGTATTTAAAGATATGAATTTATTTGGTCATTCACTGTACTGTTATGTTTAAAGGTCAAAGTTCAGTGCTACATGTTATTTAATTTGAAGATGAGTTTTAAATAAGTTCTTCATTCATCAGACTAATATTTATGGGGAGACCATAACATGCCAGCCACTTTGATAGAGGCTGTAGGTAAATAAATAGTGGGAGATCCAAGCAAATGGTGTGTGAGGATAAGGGAATGTGTGTGTGTGCACATGTATGTTTGTAACTGTTTAGAATAATGTCATTTGTTATTTACCACATGTTCCACAACATGTGGCCAACAGTTCACAGTTGCTAATTTACAGTATATAGTGAACATTTCAGATGTTGAAGATTTAAAATCTACAATGTTCTAAATATCCTTTGGACATTTTATGTCTTCTCTTGTAAGGCATAATGCCTTGTTTAATATAAATTATGCAATTATTCTCTATTCTTTTTTGGAATAGAGAAGTTTGAATATTTATTGGTGTATTTTTTAAATAACATGAAAATAAAGCCTTTACAAAAAATATCATGCTAAAAGTGTGTTTTGTACATCATGACCTTTTGTTCCTCCTGAATACTCAAGTTACACATTTTTCTGAGTCTGTAGGGCATGCCCATTTAAAGCCTGCTACTAACTGGCACTTTTCTTGTTTCTCTTCTCTTCAAGAAGATTTAAGAAACATTGAGGGTCTTGGTGTGACACTGTAGGATAAGCACTGAACCACAAGGTCAGTTTGAACCACAAAGTCAGTGATTCTAACTTACCAGTTGCTCCTCAGAAACCCTATGCAGAGTCACTATGAGTCAGAACTGACTCGAGGGCACTTAACAACAACAATAGGGCATGCCCATGTAAAACATGGTACTGGCTGGCACTTTCCTTTTTCTTCTTCAGGAAGGTATAAGGAATATAGGGGTAACAACAACACTACTAAGGACTAAGGCATGCCCTCCATGGAATGGCTGATCATTCAAGATCTAAAGGGCAGTATCCTCCTCAGGAAGAAGTTGAGAAGGGATAGGAATGAAGGCGGAATGGAATTAAGAACCACAGGGAAGAAGTAGGCAAACTCTTTTTACATGAATGGGATTACAACCATTGAGATGAAACAAAGTGTAGAATTTGTTGAATGTAAAGTGATGAACTTCTCTGTAAACCTACACTCAATTCATAGTAAAATGTTAATAAATAAATAAATAAACGTTAAAAAACAAATGAAGATGTATCTCTGGTGGCCTAGTGGGCTAAGGATTGAAACCCACCAAATACTCCACCTGAGGCTGTCTGCTCCCATAAAGATTTACAGTCTCAGTAGTTCTACTCTGTCCTTTAGGGTGGCTATGAGTCAGATACAACTTGAGAGCAGTAGATTTGATTAGGTTTTTGTTGTTGTTGTTTCAAAAAAGTGTTTGATGTGTTGTTTTTTCAAAGTCCATGCAAGTTGCTGCCTTGAGAATCTGTTTTACATTAAAAAAATTTTTTTCACTATAACAAATTTATTGATTCAATTCTAGCTCTTTAAAAACTTTCTATTTGTTGTAGATATTTTAATAAGAGCTCTCATTTAAATTATATTGCTAAATGTTTTTCAAGCAAGTATGCATTATTTTCCCTCTTGATGAATCTGGGAGCTCAGTTGTAATAAAATGACTTCTTTCTCAGAACTTAATTTGTGCATGAGTCCTGGTATGGCACTGTAGGATAAGCACTGGACTGCTAACTGCAAAGTTGGCAGTTCAAACACATCAGCTGCTCTAGAAAAAAACAACAAAAAAAAAAAAAACAGGAGTCAGAACCAACTCCAGGGCACTTAACAAAAACGGTGAGGGAGGGAGAGAGTCGAGTAGGAGCAGGAAAAATGAGTTGCAAAGTTCAACTCTATAAAACACTAATTGTGAAAGTTTAACCTTTGTAAAGAGATGAAGGTCACCAAGTTCAGTATTGTTATTTGTTGTTGTTAAGTGCCAGTGAGTTGATTCCAACCCATAGTGACCCTGTATAGGGTTTCCAAGAAGGAGCTGGTGAGCTTGAACCACTGACCTTGCAGTCTGACACATTAGTCCACAGCACCACACCAGGGCTCATAGTGCTTTAGAAACATGGTATTGCTTTCACTGGTGGTTAAATTTATTCTGACCCTGTGCAGGAATTCCAATGTACAAAGTGCGAGAGCAGAAAACCTCATCTTTCTTCCGAAGAATACCTGGTAGTTTCAAACCGCTGGCCTTGTGGTTAGCAGCCCAACTCATAACTCCCAACACTACTTGAGCTCCTTCCACCCAATTAGATGTTTTCTAAATCTGCAAGTTTCAATTTAACATTGCCATAGCATCATAGAGGCACAGCCAGCTTCCAGGACAAAAGTCTGTCATTATTGTTTCAGGTATGGACGGGGCAGATTACTCAATAAAGTAAGCATGGGCTTACTGTGCTTACTTACTAATTTGTAATAAACCGTTTCACCTAAAAGATGTTTTTCACCTCAGTTGTCAAGGATTGCATATTGAAAAGAAGCTTTAATTCTGTGGGAAATGCGGTGCAGAATCTTTGATGCAGTGCGGGGTGTGGGGGCTAGTGAGAATGTGAAGTTGTTCACTACAAATTTTGTTTATCTCATTTATTGGGTAATCTCCAACACACCAGGGAAAGAATAATTCCAATTATGCTGTAAATGTGTTAAGTGTGTGCTCTTGTGGGAAAGGCAAGGCAAGATGTGAACTTAACTGTATCCGATTCAGGGCCTGTTTCTGGACACCCGAGATCTTGTTAAAAGCTTTATAACCTTCAGCAGAGGGAAGAGAGCTGAGTTTTTAGCTCCTGCACAGGCTTGCCCTATGGGTAGAAAACAATTTGTCTAAATCTCCATATCCTCCCATGCATTGTCTCTTAGTCTAATAATCTATTCATTACTTCAGTGTTATTTGTTCAGAATGAATGAGGTAAGTAGATGCAAAGCAATTTGTAAACTGTGCAAAGATAAGCAAATGCAAATCATTCTGGAAGTTGTAAAAATGCCAGTGCTGACTCTCTAATCCAAAGTCCTCCCAGGATTTCTCACTGTTCCTATGTTGTTGTTGTTGTTAAGTGCCATCGAGTCGGGTCCGACCCATAGCGACCCTGTACAGGGTTTCCGAGGGTGTAAATCTTTACGGGAGTAGAAAGCCTCATCTTTCTCCCGCGGAGCGGCTGGTAGTTTCGAACCGCTGACCTTAAGGTTCGCAGCCCGATTCGTAACCACTACGCTACCAGAGCTCCTTATAAAGGGCCCTAATCTTCTGAGGTTCTTGCTGTACTGTGAAAATTAGATCTGAAGCCATTTGTCTAGTTAATTGCTCTAATCCTAAAAGATAACAAAAATTTTATTATCTCCCCTGGAAGGGCCAAATACTCCTAGTCATAGGTAGGACTAGGTGCCTAGGTTAAGTCCCAGTGTGTTAGGGAGATTAGAGTTTTATCTCCCTAGTCATTTACATGTCAAAAGAAATGGAGTTACATCACTTGTAGACATTTAAAGATTATAAAAGTGGGGTGGGGTGCTATATCTTCTGAAGAGAGACTATTTCTATAGCAAAGGGTTGGACTTTGACCGGAGGCCAAAAAGAGGAGGCTTCAAAAAGTTGATAGAAAAATGGAATTAAAAATTAATAATAAATATTTTTTTTTTACACAAACTTTTTGGAGCCCTCTCCTATGTTTCCAAGGAGAACCTTAGTTCTCAAACCAGTAACTTTGCTCTTGAACACTTTAAAGAGGTCTTGTACAGAAGATTTGCCTAATGCAATACATCATTCAATTTTCTGACCGCAGCTTCCCTGAGTATTGATAGTTTAGTCAAGCAAAATGAAGTCTTTGACAACTTCAATCTTTTCTTCATTTATCATAATGTTATTTATTGGCCCAGTTGTGAGCATTTTTATTTCCTTTACATTGAGGTACAATCCTGATTGTTTAGATTCAAACCCAGAAGGGAAAATCCTTCCACATAGATGGTTGCCAAGACATCAAAAAACTGACCAGGAGACAGTTGGCAGACATTGGTTTATTTCAAAGGGAAACTTACTGAGAGTGACAGCCCTACTATTTCCAGTGGTGGCAGGCTGTACAGGGAAGCTTCCGAACCAAGGGGGCAGACTGTAACTCTTTCATACTAAAGAGTGTGTGTTTTGTGTATCTTGCTGGCATGGGGGGAGGGGTGTAACTCAGGAGGGAAACTGAATCCTGAGGTGCCAGCTGTTTGCCTAGACACTGTGGGTGATATCATGAGAACAGGATGTCCTGACAGGCACAGCAATACATTGGGACAGGGGTGAGGGGGGACAACATAGGAAAAGGCAAAGTGGCAATATATGAAAAAGTGGCCATTAAGGTCGTAGCACATACAAAAGTGGCCTGGTGCATTCAGC